CTAGAGATTATGGTTCCCCTCGCCCTCCATCGAGTTTAGCCTTGAGGGCAGCAATCAGTGAGAGCGGAGAAGCCTTAGTCCTCGCTTCCTGCTCCTTTCCATAACTGTAGAGAGTAGAGAGAGCATCATAATAAAGATACACCTATGATTTGGTCGCAATCCATATAAATCGTGGTCCATTCGCTGCTGAACTATATGTTCCATGAAATCGTTGGCAACGGTCCAAGGAATGGTGTCCATGACCCAATTGTAGTACCTGAATATGAGGTGTACGGTGTTACTTCCACACCATTTTTCATAGTTTGACTACCTTGTCATATAGAGAGTATCATAAGGCATTCCTCCAGCCGCTACTTTGTTGAAAATCCAAGTGCCACGTCTCGTAGATATCGTCACCTGAAACGTTCTCCATATTGGAAAGTGTAGCATCTGTTCTCACGGCGCTTCGCTTGCCGCGCGCGACGTAACGCGACAGAATTGCACGCCATGTCGTATCGATCAATCGATACGTCGGGCGCGGAAGGCAGCAACTCGCGCAATCACGCCTGTATTAAGTTACTTGAAGTATGTAGTGGGTAAAACTTACAGATTTGGCAATTTTTGCAAGGTCCACGGCGATGTCTAGGGCTGAATTCCCTATTCCAAGCAGGAACACGTTCTTATCCTCAAAACCTTTAGGATCTGTGTAATCGTGAGCGTGCATTATACGTCCTTTGAATTTGTCGACATCTAAAAGCGGATGATTAGAAAAGTGTAAAGAATAGAGTCTTCGCCGCTGACCAATCCCTTTTTGGGATGCGGCACGCTTTCTACATCTGTTGCGGAATATGATGGTTTATTGGATGAGATTTGGCACCATCCAGTGACTTGCCGGACCAGCCGAGCAGTAAAATGAGTGTTCTTATCCTGTCATACAGATCTGGTACCAATTTTCTCCTGGGGTGAGGTGGTTGGAAAGCGTGGTGTGGCTGAGCGGAAGTCGATCTGGGATTCGATCCACGCGTAGTAAGCGGTTAAGCGTGACACTTGTCTCTACACCATCTCGAAAGACAAAAACCTCAGTGGTTACGGGCATCCGGCCGTGCGCCCAGGTACAGCATAGGGATAGGCGAAATGTCGGTGTGAGTACGACCCCCCCCTTTTTTTCCCCGCTTGGTACGACCCCCCCTCAGCTCGACCGGCTCTTTCGCCGACTGACGAGCGATGGGTATATAGTCGGCGAAAAAGTCGTCGAGCGGGGGTGGGGAGGGGGGGAGGGAATACAATAACTATGCAACGTATATCCGGCGGCGGGTTTTCCACAAGAAAAAATCAACTATCAAAATAAATTTGTCTTACCCCAAATACGACCCCCTCCCCAGCGGAAAAGTACGACCCCCCCCCCTATGTGTTTGTTTCACACAACGATTGCTGTGCCCTGCGTGCGCCTGCTCTAGGGCACAGCATTGTGATGGGTGGAGTGGCAATGTCAATTCATAACCCCTCCCCCAACCTTCCTCTTTCATCCACTACAAACCCGAAAAGTTCTTCTTCCACTGCGAATCCCTCTCACAAACTTGACTAGCCACCTTGATCGATTCTTTTAAATCCCTACCAACTTTATAGATAGAACTAGTTTTTCCCAAAAGAAAGTGGAATCAAGCAGATAAGCGTGTCCTGTGAAAGCGGGAAAAATCAGCGGGGGTGGGGGACCCCTCTTTTCACTGACCGAGCACTAGCCCCTGACGGGACGGGACGGGTTCTTCCAACGGATTCTGCGGCCAGAATTGCCTGCATGCTGAAAGCCCAACGATGGTAACGCACACTGAATAGGACTGTTTACAGGTCGCAAAACTTCTCCTTATCTGTTTACTCAGATATTCAAGTATTCAGAACTACTCTGAGTTGAGGATGTTTAGGTTCGGCATGATGTCCTGTACATAGTATTACTTTCTCGAAATGATTCACTTCCCCATTCGCAAGTTCCACTTTGAATCCATCACCCTCCTCTGAAATCTGAAAAATCACGATTAGCCCAGGTGCCTTGCAAGATTACTGAAGATTACTGGTCTGGTGCAGTTCGGCTTGGTGGGGTAATCAAATGGTACTCTGCGAAGTTCATACAGAGCACCTTGTAAAGACTTGTGACCCTCTGGGACCAACGTGGCTCATTCGCATGGCTTCGTAGTTTCACAGGAGTTCGTAGGGCTGACCAGAGGGACCTCCAAGAACAACAAAAGGAAGTAAAGTGCCCCTCCAAGCCGAACAGCGCCGTATTCTGACCAGGAACTTACATGCTTCACTGCTGTGTTGAATCGGATATGACGTTTTAGATCGAAGTGGTCCGCGTACATGTGCAAGTATTTGTTAACCTGAACTAGTGATTAGAGTTGTCTGACTCAAGGAGCTGAAATCACGAGCCATGCTGCTCAATGTCAGGCCCGACTCCACCCACACGATCAGCGTGGGTTGCGCCTAAAAAGCTCACTCATGGACAAACCATCGAATGATGCATGAAATTTGGAAAATCTTCCGGTGGAGGGAAGTCTGAATAAGCCATCATTTCTTTGGACGTGTTCACCACTGTGCTGGCCATTACAGTTCCTCCAATCTGAAAAAAAGTAGTCAAGAATTGAGAATCCTAAACATTGTCGCTTCCGCTGCAGACGCTGGGCGTGGCAGGGGAGTGGGTTTGGCGCCGCCCTGAACCCAGTCATCTGACACAGCAGAGCGTCCTGCAGCGATAGACTGTACTTATCAATCTTACATCTTTCTGTCCAGGTCGATAGTTCCACAAACCGCCCAGATCGGCCGTCTTTTCATAGCAGACCACTTCGATACCTTCTTCTAAGCATGCTTTTATGGATGGAAGGCCAGAAGCTCCAGGCTCCAACCACGCATACCCTCATTCAGGAGTTTCTCTGGTTTCTTTATCCTGAAACTGCAAGTTTCACTGGTGATGCTTCTTACTGTAAGGCTGAAGGCAATAGGCAGTAGACGCTGACTATAAGAACGCACTACTGTATGTTATTAGGAGACACTGAGTTCAAAGCGGCAGTCATCGTCCACGCTGGCTATGTGGCCACGGCAACTATGCTGAGACAGTCCCACATTTCGTCTTTCCTCATCGGTTCCAACTCCTTTCTCTAAATGTAGAATGAGTGGTGGACTAAATAGAGGGTGCAGTGGTGGGCCCGACTGCGCCTATGTGGTCATCGTGAGTAAAATGCCTGCCATCAAGACAGGCCAATCCAACGAAGTATGCCGTCTAGAGAAATTCGGAGCTCGAGTGCCTGGGCAAGAAGTAGAATATTTAGTCGAACGAGCGAAGAAAACAAACAAATCATACTAGTAGCCCACAAAAGGACTTGTAAAGAATCAAAGAAAGGAAGGAAAAAGTGAGAGTACATCATGAAAAACAAAAGGAAATTTTCGAGCGGTGTTTTCAACTTTGATTTTGAGGTAATACGACCTCCAGCGACTGATACGACCGGCCTGCTGGTTTTCGCCGTATGCCGTGGCTTGCTTGGGAAATTGGCAGACGTCCGTAACATACTCGTTGGGAATATATTGATGGACAAGGCTACATTCCTTTAGTTCTTGTTTTTTCTATGCATAAATCATACGGGGCTACTTGACGCTGACATAGATTTCTGTCGTGAAGGCATTCATCGATAGTTCAACATTATGTCGGCACAAAACGTTTGTATGGGGCCGATTACGCAGGGGCCAAATTTTCCGTGTGAGTATCTTCGTCGACAACTGAAAGTGGTTTGATGTAGAGGAAGTGGGCACGAGGGTGTATGTACACGGTTCTGCAGCCATAGAGGGAAATCATGTTCATTCGCGGTCTACGGGCCAGTTGAACACAATTTTTTGGTAGTGAGACCGAACTGGGGGGGGGGCATGTAGGAACAGGTGGCACTCTTACGCACGCCGCGCATTCAGGAGGTCAAATAGTGGATCGACTACTGCCCACCCCAATCAAGCCTTTCAAATACTGAAATAACTGCTACAGCCGATGACTTCACGTACGTGCAGAATCTGGGCTGCGAGAGCGGAGCGAGTTGTGTTTCATTTAGTCCAGATGAACGCCCAGCCACGAGCCGCGAGTGTTCCTTGGCTGCATTGTTGGGTTTACACAAGCAAGGAAGCGCAGGCGAAGCATGCCATATTAAATCTACTGGGTCTCTGTGTGAATGTTGCGCGCGTGACGCATCAGGGCTGAGGCGGCGTTCATAATTTGCGGCAGCGTCCACCAACAACCAATGGCGTCACCCAGCGTTCTGAACGTCCGGCAGCGTCAGCGAATAGAAAAGTAAAGAAATCTATCCAGCGCCTGCCAGCGTTCACCAGCGCCTATCAGAGTCTCAAGATCTAGGGAAGAACATGTATTGATCTAGCGTCTGACAACGTCCTTCAGCGTCCACCAGCGTCTACCAGCGTCTCAAGGGCTAGGGAAGTAGGTATCGATCTAGCGGGGCGCAGTTCGGCGAGGGGGGGGGGCACTTTTGCACTTTTGCTACTTCCCATCGACGTACCGACCTATCTAGACAGCCTCTTCTCAGTTGACAGGTTTTAACACGATGGCCCTGCTTCAGCTTCACAAGAGTTCACAGGTTTTGCCACAGTGACACTTGTAAACCGGAACCGGAACCAGATGATGGTACAAAATGCACCGCACATACTCTCTACCAGCAGTGTTCTGCTGGTCGCTGTTGGATGCTGGTTGACGCTAACAGACGCTAGATTGATACCTATACTTCCCCAGCCCTCAAGGCGCTGTTGGACGCTGGCGGACGCTGGTATACGCTGGCAGACGGTTAGACCGATATCTACAGATTCCTAGCCGGCTGACGTTGCCGGACCCCCCGCCCGCAAAACCCCGCCTGAGCGGACGCTATTGGTCGCTGGACGCTGCCGCAAAGTATGAGCGCAAGCTCATCGTCTTTATTTGAATACTTCTGCCAAACGAGGTTTTTAGATGACACCTTTATTGGCCTAACGTTTCGACCTTCTCGTCTTCTTCAGAGGCCTGAAAATTGAAGCTTTTAATTTGTTACCTACCCGACCAAACGCCCTTCCCACTCTAGCGTTTCCGACCTCGTTTCCCAACCGCTTCCCCCCAAAAACCCGGCAATGAATCCTAACAACTCACCGAGGTATCACCGTGCGGAGCACAGCTCACGCAGCAAGTTAGTAGGACCAGTAAGGACGAATGAGACTGACTTGGGTCTCACTGTGTCGCATAAGTCAAAATTGTCATAGCGCACGTAGTCCTTATTTCTTACTGTAGCTCGCACTCTGATACAAACGGCAGGAATTCATTTGTAATGGCCAGACACTCGTTTCGGTTGTTCATTCTTGGTTTTCTCGCGAAAATCCAGAATGATTCCAGAACTTTCCTAGCTGAAGTTTCCGTCTCGTACGCCAGTATAACACATTTAACATCAAAGTCGTTCCCGTTATGCTGCTCCATCTTATGCTTGCCTAAGGGAGTGGTCCTGATATCACGCCTTTTCCCAGCTAGGTGTTCTCCGATGCGCGTAGCCAATACCCTTCCTGTTTCTCCGATATAGCTGTTACACGCCCTACATTCAAGCTGATAAATTACTCCAGCTTTCCCGCAATCTCCTAACTTTCCATATGGGCAGATAACGCAGTCTGGTGTCAAGCACTGTCTGTCGTACAGTCTGTTGCGCACAAGTTGCCGTTGATGCTGCTATTGGGAATATTCACCAAGGCAACATCTTCCTGTAACTGTGCTCGCACAATACTGCGATGTATTTCAGTGCTGACTTCATCGGAAATAAAAGGAAGGCATAAGGGTAACTTCCTCTGGCGTGGTCCGTGTCGCAGGCTAGCGTTCGATGTTCTGCGATGTGCTCGTACCGCATAACCATTTTCTCTAGCAATTTTCAAAGCTAGAGATCTTGATTCTAGTCGTTCTTCATCGCCAGTGCACATCTTCGTTGCTGTAGTGATCATGTTCCTAATGACTGCACGTTTCACAGCAGCAGGATGTGACGACGTCGCGTAAATCAGGATATTTTACAGCTAGGTTTGCGGTACCACTTCACGTTAGCAACGCCATTGGACAACTTCACCTGCGTGTTCAGATATGGTAGCCAACCGTGTTTAGGTACTTCTCGTGTGAGCCTTATGAGTGAATGATCATTAAGGAAAAGGAACATATCTCGGGCGAGAGTCCTGTCAAAATTTTGCGAGACAGTGCTTTCCTTTAGGAGAAGATTAGCGATGAAATACATACAGTCCCCCCCCCGCCGCCCCTTCTTATTGCTGGATCTTTGCTAGCACTTGGGCACCTCAAACGTATTACCTTTTCACAGCACAGGCTGGCGCGCCCTCCTCCCACCCTCCCCTCCACAAAGTTGGACGTCTTGATTTTAACCAGGGCTAGGATTATCAAGCTTTTTTGTCCAGGTTACGAACTGGCAGATGAGAACAGCAATGTACGGATTCTATCGGAGCAAAGAGAGAGCCATCCATCTGGGTTGCTTTAGCTTCAGGCGTTGACCCTTTTTTTTCGTCGTACGTTCTGTGACGTTGAAAGCAGACTGGTTTAGACAAATGTCATATCCGGTCGAGGATGGCTTCGGATGTTTCTGGTGCTGTGTGTAGAGACCGGCCATGGATGCAGCTCAATTATCAGTTCCGCGAGCCTTAGCTCTCTCAAGTTGAGTTCTAATGGACATTAAGGCTTTCCTTCTTCTTTCGGACTGTTGCGTTCCGAAAAGAAATTGTAATCCATACAGCAAAAAAAGGAAAACGTACTAAGCAAATGAGTGATCCTAGCAAGGGCTTCACTCTCACTACCAATCAACGTCCGAGACAAGGTGTGGGTTCACCGACTGTACCAGGTTGCTTATATGGCAAATACTCAAACGTATCGTCGTTGATTGTAGTGAGAGTGAAGCTTCGGGGTCCTTTTTACATTCCCCGAGAATTAAATGTTTCCCGCAAGGCATGCCTTTGAGACAGCTCCCGCGATAAAAGCGTCATGGATAGCTGCTGTTCAATTATGAAACAGTAGCTGATAAGTAAATCCCCAAAGAAGATAAAAAAGCAAGAAGAGAACGGCGGAGAACTCAAGAACACCAAAAATAAGGTTGCAACAGACAGTCACATTGCCCTGCGGTATCTGTGCAACCACTGGCTCACAAATCGCTTTATCGCATCTCCCATAGCGCATGTCGAGCCTTTGCACAACGAAAATCACGTCACCTGTGATTTTTACGCGTTTTACCATTGCGAGAATGGGTTGCAGTTGGCTTGCCATGTGCTCCTTGATGATAATATAGATGTAATAAATAAGAGCAAATTAATTCATGGGCATGAAGTGGTCAGCAAAAAGTACATGCAGTTCCGATTAATGCCCGTCGTCCCAACAAGGAACAACTGAGCGGCTCTCCGTCAGAGGGCATCTAGCAAGTGGGCGGTCCAACTGAGGCGGGCGTTAGAACTAGGGCTTTCAGCAGCTGTAGCTCGCTCCTCGCTCGCTGTGGAGTAGCGAGAGTGGGATAGTCTCTAGCTTGGGGCTGGACTACTTGCACAAGGAAGGACGACCATGTACTTCTCGAGCGCGGAGGCTGTCGTGTTGAGCTGGCAGTCAGATAAGAACATGGAGATTGTCTCTGGTCATCATAGCGTCCGTCTGCTACAGATGATCATTTCAGGATGAATACTTGTTTACTGGACACTTACACACAACTTTGACGAGTAACAGAGCCTTTCACGCTGACGACTGGTTGCTATTTGGTGTTCTTCTGAGAAACCTCCTCTGAAAACGAATGTCGATGTGATAAGTTTGTTCTGCTTGCTTCGTAGCTCGTGTTGACATATATTAGTTCAAGTAAATAAGAGCACACTGGAGCCCCGCACGGAAACAGCTGTTTAAAGCATGTGGGATTCTTATAAAAGAGCGGGTCAGTGATGAGAGGACATCCTCCTACTTGTTTCAAAGCATCTGCTCTGACATTCCTATATTCGCTCTCTCACCTGACTCTATTATATGCAATAAAAGTCAACCAAATTTTTTCAGCGAAATTAATGAAGGTTAGCCCTCGTCGTCCTTGTAGACTCGCGTGGTCGTTCACGTTGTCGGCGCCCTCTTTGTAATAAAAGGAAGAAGAACCCTGCAAGGACAACGAGCGCGCAGAATAGTACGTGTAGTAGAGCTTTATAGCATCAAGTGGCACAGCAACTCTCCTAGCAGCGCGTCCTTGAACTAACGAAATTTCTCTTGTTGCAGCTGTAAAGAGAAGGTCCCGAAAGGATTTTGTGAGTCACAGTTCCACACATGGGAACAAAAGAAAGGCGAAATGCATGAAATCATGTAAAATGTGCTGCGATGAGGCGGATCCCAAGTGAGTTTTGGATGGAGTTCTGGTGTTTCTCGTCATGGCTCAGATATCAACTTGCCTATCTTTCAGATGCAAGCCGAAGGGAGCCTTATGATGACTACGCCATTCCAGTGTCGGAACGGAAACCCTGGGTTTAGTTCTACCTTATGACAGTTCGCAATAAATCTATGAGTGTATAGAGTTTACTGAATGCTTGTTCATATGAATCGAAACCTGTGTACAAAAGCAAGGTGAACAAGAAAAGAAAATCCGTTCAAGTTTCAAGAAGGGACAACGTGGAGATTACTAATCGTCTTTGCTTTCCCCAACACGGGGCGCTGGTCGCTTTAGGGGTGGTGTAGTCGATCGGAGGTGGCGGCCAATTTCGGAGAAAGTCTGGTCAGATGATCGGTTGTGGAAGGATGAGGAACAGAGCGGCAAATTTGGCGGGGTCGTATTGTGCCAAATCTTTCCACAAAACCAGGACGTGCAGGATTTTCTCGTACCACTCAGCGCCTTTGTTTTTACCATTAGCAGCCAAACTAATTACCGTACCCCACACTCTTCGGGAGACCAATCTTCACGAACAAAAAAGACTATAAATTCGCACCTCAACGATATGTTATGGGCCAGTTTTCTCGGAGCGATTTTTGTGTTGTGTGAGCTACTTCAAGTGTATCGAGTGCCGTAAGTTGGTGGCGAAATTAATAACTCACTTCCCCCACATAGTGTCAACCTGCGATACATGGGATGGAGGGAGGGAAAAGCGTGCCTTGAGTAGTCCCAAATGGGGAGCATAATGGGGTCGCTGAAAAGGGGGCTCGTATCTGACCCGGTCTCGCACTCGGCGGCGACTCTAGCAACTTCACTATAACTGATAGCTGATCGCTGTTCCCCCACACTCTCACCGCGCTGTTCGTTGGCGGTTTTCTTTTGGATGTTTATTGGGGTGGTATCTGATCATGAGAATAAGAAAAGCGTAGGGTTAAGGGGGTCCTATCTAGCAAAAATTTTCTTGGATGCGGTGTTTGACCCTGGATGAAGGTGACGAGATAGAAAAACATCCAGGATGAAATGGCGTGTCGGTACGGCCCCCATTTATACCTCTGGTACAACATCCCTTACCATCCTACCGACCATATTCCATGCATTTTTCCAACTTCCCACCAATTTTCCAAAAACGATTGTTTGCCGTTGACTGAGGGGAGGTAGTGATGAAGAAGCGACTATTATTTCCAACTATCAGAGATGGCAATTCTGTCGCCTTATATAACGGCGCCAAATAAGGATTATATAAGTCAAAAAAAGCTGAAGAAATCCGGAAAGGTCCACTGCTGAAAATCCAGCCAATTCGGAATAACTACTATTAAACAGCTTTCCCCCTTTCGACGATCAAAGACGACTTCTGCCACCGATACGAATTACATGATTTCGGCTGTTATCTATTTATCGATATCCGCTGAAGGTTGAACTTGGGAGGGGCATGTTAGCTATTTCTAGCTGCTTTTGTTAGTTCCTGTTTAATTATACGTCACATCTTATTGTCAGAAAGTACTGTAGACTCTTGTGAAGTGTGAACAAAGCTCCTGCTGTTGCACAACTTTACGGGAAGTTAGATCCTCAGAGGGGGCATCGGCAGTGATCGATGGGAGCCAGCAAGATGAACCAGGCCAAACTGTGCCTCGACCAACATTTTTGGCCTGCAGACAAGTAGAAATGGAAATTGAGTGGCAGTACTGTCGAAGTGTAAGCTCAGTAGTAGAGGGTAAACTCTGTAGGGTCGCAGGCCATCAATCTGCACAAAATCAATTAACTTCAAATCACCATATTGATCGAGATTATCTGCTCCCTTTAAGGATGCCAAGAATGAGTACTGGACTAATATTTCTAGACTAATAGCTGGATAAGAAATCTCGAGAAAAAATGTTGAGCGGCACGCCAACGCGGCATTCTCTGAAGGATTAGGGATTGCGAGGCGACCTGTAATCGCAGAGGCTGGACATATAATATAACTTCCACCCTATTATTCCGTACTCGGCAAAACAAGGTCAAGCATATGGTGCGGAAAATAATACTTCGGGGAGACACGTATATCCTTCGGCACCGAAAAAAGGTCGATTAATCCGTAACTGCAAGACCCCGAACTGAATACCGTATTTCTTTCAGCTCTAACTGAGTCACGTCCCCGTGAGGAAGGTTAGAGTTGGCGGCGAGTTGAGAATAGAGTACGAATACGTTGCGCGAATAGATCCTACCGAATTTGATATAGAATTTAAGATAATCAGGGCGCTGTTCTTCATTGAGAGGCATTTGGGTTTGACACTAGTTTATTCAACCGCCACAGACATTGGGTCATTTCTGAAACCGTATAAAATCTGTGAGGTCGAAATGGAACAAGTGAGTCTTTAACGTACTGAGATAAAGGCACATTCCGCAGTGAAAATAAGGCTATGCCTCTCAAATTGCGGACGATCCGGAAGGCGATTATTGATCTGCGCTGACTTTCTAAGATGGTGTCAAAACCGGCAAGAACTCTGCAGAAGACTGACTAATAGGCCCAGGACACACCTCAGCCATGCGCCCTCACCATGCTGCTAGCTACATAGCTAGTGCCACTATGTACTCATTTCTCTGTGACATTCGGACTCTTTTGTCTGCTGCTTGTTCTCCGCATGCAGATACTTTAGCATCTTTTTGTGGCCTATTTCGAAGTACGTTTCCCGAATTGCGGCGAACTGTGTCTTTAACTGCCCTCACGAGGTAGCTTGTACAAATTCCAGGTAATCCATTGATGTCGCTACCGAACGCGCCAAACGATAGTGTTAAAAATTGCAGCAGGGTCAGAAGGATGTCTGAGACACGAGCACTGGAAAAGTATTTCCTCGTTTGAACGATGGGGCCAGGATAGTCTACGAACAGAATACAAAACAAGAAGTTGAAAATATGGACCTGGCCGTCATTTGGCCCGATGAATAGGCCAACTAAAGATCAGTCCAACGTAAGTCTTCCGGGCGGTAGTAGACGTACAAGATCAATTGGCGATTTCGCTTTCATGTAGCGTTCAATGTTATGGATGTGGGATGGCGGCCTGCACTACTAATTTCAGCTTTAACTGAGACGCACAGTAAGGATCAATAACTGTTAGGAGTTTACCAAGCTACATCTAGAAAGATCTTTGAAAATCACTCCATATCCTTGAAAGACAGGGTGGGTGTAGGCTGCGCGACTTTTGGTAATGGCGCTGGCGCGTTGTTTTTCTCGAAACGTATTCTCTTTGGAACAATTTCATTGGTCTTGTGCTGGACAAGGACTGTGGCAATAGTTCTATAAGCTTAACCCAACAAAAGGGCCGCGATCACCACCGGTCCAAGGAAGGCACAGCCACCAGGGGATAGGTCAGTGGTTGGGTTTTGGTGGGATTATACACGCTCCACTTTTTTGAGCTTATGGGACGAACCTTCAACCCCCCCCCCTCGGCGCCCTCTGTCGCTCCTCATTCGAATCGAGCGCCAAGCAAGGGGGGGGGGGGATCAGCATCAAAAAATTTTTCCCAGCACCAAATACAGCTCCCCCTTCATGCGGACGAACCTCCTATTGGGGATTCCCCAATAAAGATGTGCCCTGACAGCCACACCCTTCCCATCTCCGAAATATGGACTGTGCAACATGTCTGAGTCGTTACTCTTCAAACACTGTGTTAGTAACACAGCGCAGAAGAGCAGTGCCTATGCTGTGTCGTCGGGACACGTCGTGTGTAAGTTGGGATTCCTCAACCGGGTCTTAGTCGGCCTTTGGAGAGTGGGGAGGTCGTATTTAGAAATTTTTTTAATAGTTAATTTATCTCACTTTATGCTTTGTGAAAACCAGGCGCCCTAAAACTACAATTTCTGAGTGTTGATTGAACTCACAATGCCCTCCCCTCTCTCCGAAGGCCGACACCTCCCTCTACTCCCCTCCTTTGTTAGACGGCGAATTTTTCAGAAAGTTTGCGATGGTGATCAGTCGGTTGTGGAAGGTGGGTCGTACGTGGAGGAGAAAATCTGGGGAGGGGTGGAGGAGGTGGAGGTCACACGAATTCTCTTCCCAACGCCAGACCTAACCTGCAGTCGTAGTAATCGGCAGCGCAAAGTATAGTCGCGATGAAATTCTTGATATCAAGGAATTCCAAGCCTTGAGCTTGCCACACATTGTCGAAAGGCCTAGTTGGCACACTGCCGCTGCGGCTGAAGTGCCTATAGTGCTTATCATGTGAGGGGGGGGGGGACAGTTTGAGAGTACCGTTCGCAATAAACTAAGTAGAGCAGTTCCCATATCCGACTCTACAAATAGAGTAGAGAATGAATATAAGTATGGTCTTCCAGATGCCCAAAAGTGGCTAAGATAGAAAGATTTGCAAGCAAACTCTCGAGAGGCTTAGGGGCTGGAGAGCTTTGGGAAAACGCTGTCACCACAGACCATTATCTGGGCAGCAAAAGAGCTCCTGATTGTACAGAGTATGTTCAGAAACAAGATTCCTCCGATTCCTGATTATCATTGATCACGGCTATTACCAAGTCCCAGAAAGACGCACTGTTGCGCGTAGATTGAGAGAGAGATCGATGAGAAGGAACACGCCGAGTACTCGTTCGTTGAGATCGACGAGCTCAATAGGATCAGGATAGTGACTGTACTATCATTACTCATTCACACATCCTATTTGGCTACATACTTCTACGTTCTCACAGTGAGGAAGCTATTTCCCAGGGCAGAACGCCGCGAAGGCTACTGCATTCTCAGAAAGTAGCTCGACACAACTATGGTCAGGCGTGTCAGGAGAGGCTAGGTTTGACGTGGCGCCACCTCGCTTTCCTCTAATGGTTGAAGAGGGCAAGCGTCTTCAACTGGTGGAAAGCGCGTTGACGCCGAGCCAACCCAGCCCTCATGACACGCCCCAACATGACTGTATCGAATCCCTCTTGCAATTACGACGGTTTGTGCCTGCAGCTACGAAACGTTTCCCTTTCTTCTCGGTCCAAACGACAACAACGACTTAATACTTGCTCCTGGGAAGGGTGGCGTTTCGCAAACGTTCCACACAAGGTAATGGAGTGGCCTGGCGATAACAGACATTTTGGG